TTGGAATTTTCCCCAAATATTCATTTTATGATCTAAATCTACTGAATATTTAGCCTGATTTTAAAACATCATGTAATTGGAAAAAGTAGTGTATCTTATAGTTTACTTGTGATCTTTTGCCACAGTGATTCATATGCTTCTTTCTGTCATATTCTATTGCTATATTAGTTCTTTCCCAAACCCCAGCAAAAGGGACATATTAAATATCCATCTTCTGGGGGTTGGGGCTGGGGCTCAGCAGTAGTGCACTTGTCTGGCATGTGTGAGGCACTAGGTTCGAGTCTCAGCACTGCATATAAATAAATAAAATATCAACAACTAAAAAAAATTTTTTTTAAATACCCATTTTCTGTTAATAACCAAAAACCTTATCAAAAGAATAATTTTGGTGTTAAAAATATAAGAGTAGTTGAATTATTTGAGTATTGATTATGAGCATAATTTTCCAACTGTTTCAGATATTCTAGTTAGTGTAAGATTTATTTATACAATAGATTATTGTATATAATAATCATCTCCTCTGGCTTCCTGTGTAATTTTTTTCTTGTAAACTTGACTGCTTGTAAGTTCCTTCATGCTGAGGATGTGTCATAAATACATACTTAGTAAATGTTTGATAGATGTACGGTGAATAAATGAATTATGGTTTTTATACTTGGGACTTGTTTTTTTCAAATGGATTATAAACTCCTTGTGGTCACAGGATTTTATATAAATAGTTCCCCACATATAAAATCCCCACATATAAAAATTAAGTCTCTGTCATTTTATCTTTCATTGTACGAACTTTTTTGTTTAGTTTAGACATAATTTTGAAGAGTTATATTCTGATGTAATCAAGACACTGTCCTCAGGCACGCTCAAAGTGTTTAGTAGGCATTAGCAATAAAAACTAGGACTTTTGTTTATTGAGGAGTTACTAGGTGCTTTTCACATATTAGCCAATTTAATCACCATAAAAACCTAGCAGGTAAGAATAATTATTTGGAAATTGAGGGAGAGTTTTTAAGGAATTTTCTTAAGGCTATAGAGCCAGAACATGGCTTGAGAAAGAGGAGTATGGCAATTATTTTGGAAAGAGATTTTCAGTGGCTGAAGATGTAAAATCTGTTGCCTTCTCACTTTGGTTTTGTGATTGTTTAAACAATTATGTGAACTTTATATCCCAAATAAAAGACATAGCAAATCTTCTGTTGGAGCTGAATGCTTAAAGAACCATTTGTTTCAAATGAGGAAATAGTTCTGGCTTTCAAGGAGGAGAGTGATTTAAGATTAACAGAACATTTTCTATCTTTAATTAAAAATATGGAATGCTATTTTGGGTCATGTGAAATGAATTTAGTGCTGCAAATTATATTGTTACCCATTCTAGATGCTTTGTAAAAATTTAAACTCAAAATGAAATGAGATGCTATTTGTACACTGACCAGAGGTGCTAAGAAGTCAAGTGAAAAACTTTCTTACAGTTGGGAGTAATTAGTAATAGATAAAACAGGTATATTGTCTCTAGTTGTGAAAAATTTTTGCTGAATAGTGTTTTAAACTCTAGATTAATTCAATATGTAGTCATTGTATTAGATAACTATGAGCAGCAGAGTTAGACACATCGATAAGACCATTGTAACAAGAATAGAGTGTAGATGATCATTGACTGAGGTTAGATGGAACTGTCTTTGAGGATTTTCTACTGATGCATGTTTTTACTTTCACAGGCCTTCCAGTTTGTCAGGCCTAGAAACTCCATTTTGAAACTGTTTCCAAAGTTAATCGGGCCCAGAGGCTGTGACTCTAATAAAAGAGATAGTTTATTTCTTTATGTACCATTGTTAGGGGTGCTAAAGGACTCCAGTATATTCCTTCTTCTGTGCAACAACATATGTGGCAAAGTGTTGCTTGGTGAGAATGAACTCAAAGCAGGATGAGTTGGTTGGATGGACAACATCAATTTATCTTTACCAGTATCAGGTTTATTAACAAGGAAACCTCTGATGATAAATTCTTGCTCTTCAACTTTCCCCACCCTATCCTTCATTTTTCTAACATCCAACCAATAGATTCATCTTTCTCCTTCTGCTAGAACCCCCCCCCCCCATTTCAGGTATAGTCTTATTAGTTGGGATTCAATTTTCTTTTATAGTCCACCTTAGTTTTTGGACTAAACCTGAAAGATCATTTCTTAGGCTAAGATTAGTCATCATGAAAAGATAAAGTATTGATTAATAAAATGAGTAAGACCTATATTTTTGTGAAGCCAAAACTTCCAGTGCAAAGAATTCTCATGTTATGCAGACTGATGAAAGTTTGAGGTATTTTGATCATTAGGCCATATTAGACATATATACTTCTCAGGAAGGAAGAGAACCTTATTATAGTAATTTACAGTAAATAGTTGTTTTTTATCATTTCTGGAAGAATGAATTGGCAGGGGCTGGAATACCTGAGTTTATAAACTGCATTTGTACTCTGAGATTTGATGTCTTATTGGTCCTTTTCTGTTGGACACTTTGTGTTGGTTGTTGTATTTAATTGAATTACTTGCATCGAAATATTTCAATTACTTTTAGTATTTAAAAAATTCCACTTTTCTATGTCAACAAAACAAAAGGTAAATAAAACCTAATTTATTTTTCTAATTTAGCACTTGAGAATAACTTGTGGTTTTTGCTCTTTCTGGCAGTAGTAAGATTTCCCCTCTTCTTATTTGCTGTTTCTGCATTGCTTGTGAATGTGTTAACATAACTTGTGTTGCTATAGTATATTGTGTAAATGTCAGAACAAAAACTTGATGACATGTTTGGATGCCCAAATGCAAATCATACTTTTTTCTTTTAACAGTTTTTTGAATAGCTGACTTTTAGAGAGATGAACATTGGCCATTTCTAGAGGGGAAAAAAAATAACCTATTTTGGCCAGCCTCATGAATTCTGTTCATAAAGTGGTAGTACATGTCACATGCTTTGAAAGAGTAACCTACTCCTGATGATTTAAAAAGTAGAATTCTCCTGGGGTTGTGGCTCAGAGGAAGAGCACTTGCCTAGCATGCATGAGGCATTGGGTTGGATCCTCAGCACCACATAAAAATAAAATAAAGGTATTGTGTTCACCTACAACTAAAAAATAAATGTTTATAAATTAATAAATAAACAAACAAACAAAAATAAAGAATACTGTGTCCATGTGTAATAAAAAAATTAAAAATAAATAAAAAGTAGAATTCTAGTTATTTCCTAAAATAGATTCTGGAAAGTTATCAAAAACACATAAAAATTAAAGCTTTTCCTACATGAAATCTAAAATTGATTCTTTTAATGCCACAAACACATTCCTTAAGGTTATAGTCAAGTTGTAAATTTCTACATAGCAAAAAATTTCTTTAATATTAGCTGATGATAATCTTGGAAGTGATAGACTTTACAATTATCCTGAAATTATCCTGAAATGTGTCCAGGTTTTAGGTGTTATCCATGCCCGTGAATTTTAGGCCATCCAAACACCTTGCCTGATAGCTTCTTGATTTCTGTTCTTTTGTTTTATATTTTTGCATGAGCTGTCTTAATTGCTTTGGACTTTAAGAAACCATCAAAATGACTTCATTCACTTCTTTTACAAATGTGAAACCTTAAGCCCAAGTTTTGTCAAAGTCCCCAATTAATATCTTGTGTATTTGTAGATTATCTTTTCATAAACAGATAAAGACCACATTGTTTTGAAGAAGTTATGCAACATAGTTCATAGTATTAACTTCTCATGCATGAACAGTTGAATAACCACAGTTAAGCATACATAAGGTTAAATACATCTGCTTTTTAGATGACTAGTAGCCAATAACAGAGCTTCATTTACAGATTTTCTAGGGATTTGTAAAGAAATGATAGATTCGCTACATATTCCATATTAGTATTTTTATCATGCTTTGAAATTCATGATATCTAAAAACAATTCTATTTATAGTTAACCTTTCTAGTTCTTTTACATAACTTCTCTAAAAAGAGGTTTTTTTAAAAAAATAAAGGTGCTATTTGTTAGCATCATTGGGAAAAAAAAAAAAAAAAGCTCTACAACCAGATAAATTTGGGTTGCATCCATAAGTATTTGTATGTATCATTCTACTTAATAATGGTGCAGTCTGCCTTCTGCCCTATATGAACTAGGAATTCAGGTAAAGCAAAGGGGGAGAGAGGAAGACTTAGTCAATGTTTTTGTATACTTGAAAGAATATATTCTGTACTGCTTTAAAGTATGTTTGAAATATAAACTTTTAACTGAAAATAGGATTGTTCATTTGTGTGTTGATTATTTTGGTATGATTTATAATAATTTGCCAATCTAATGACAGGACTTCTTTTAGCACAGTTTAAACCAGCATTTCTAGAAGCTGTCTTCTTTCTGTTTGTTATTTTTCATTTATATTTTATTAGAGTCTTTTAGAAAACACATAATAAGAAATTGCATTACTATGAAGAATGATTTTTCTATTGAAAAAAAAGAAATTGTTTTGAAATAGAAAAAGAAATAATATTAATGAGCTAACTTTAGTTTTCAGAGCAATATATGTTGTGATATGGCAAATTCATAAACTGCCTTGTTGGATTTTGTTATTTACAGAAATCTAGAACTAGTTGTACTTTGACTCTTACTAGTTTTTTGTTCATTAGTGTCTTTAATATTGCCATTTTAAAATGCATGTTCTCTGACAGTTGAATTGAAAATAAGTACCAGACTTAAAAGAATGATCAAGAAAGCAACTCTTAAATTTTAATGAAGTCATACTCCCACAATTTTTGTGAGGTTTGTATTTGAATAATTTGGGGGCATAATGTAATATTGATTCTGTTTTTCCAAGGGAACTGCAACAGTGTATATACATCATTTAAAATTCTCAGCGCATATATTTAAAATTTTAAATCTTCAGAATATTCTCTGAATAGGATTTAAATCATAAAATAGATAAGAATAAAAATAAATTTGTTACATCTGAGTATTTTTTTTATTTTTAATAGGATACAACATCTATTGAAAAGATGTCAAACTGTTGCGAAGAGATGTAAGTATAAAAGTGAACTGTGTAGTGCTCTTATTTAAAAATTGAAACAGCTGGCCACACTTGAAAACCATGTATATGTAATGGAAAGGTAATATAATAATGACTTTTTCTTGGAGCCTTGTCTGAGGCTGGAGCTAGCTAGACAGACATACTCCAGTCTTATAGTAAGGGGTCTTCCAGCCAGGATAGTTTTTAAACAAAATAAGTAGTGATCATTTTTGTTCCTTGTCTAACTAAAGTAAGTTAAATTATTTGTCCCGAAAGTACATCAAAAGAGATTTGCTACTGTGTTGTTGACACATATTCTATTAATCCTGAGATTCTCCTGTGCTTCAAAAGTTGCTCTAGGTTGATTGACGATGCAGATACAATATCTGCTATCCAGAGTTAAAACTCAGCTGCATGCCACAATGAAAGAAAAGCTGTATTTGTGATGCTGGGACACAATTCATCAGAGTCCAGTAATGGATCCCCAGCCAACCTGCATTGTTTTAGCTGACTGAAGTGCACCATGGGAGTGCTGTCTTTCACTAATAATGCTGTCTTCTGTAGATCGAGGCCCCGAAAGCCATGGCAGCAGACCTTCTCAGAAGTTTTTGGCACTCGTTGGAAGATCCTGTGGTTCATTCCTTTCAGGCAGAGGCAACCACTGCGCGTTCCCTACCACTTTGCCAATCACGTCTAAACAGATGGATGGTGGGCACAGATGGGTCCTCCATGCTGGAAATGCGTTACAGGTTTTATGATAATAGAACTATGACAGTCTTCAAGTCAATTAAAATCCACCCACCAATCTTAGGCATCATAATGTGCCCCAGGCTTTATTTTAATAGTGATCTTGATCCTGTTGTGGAACTAATACAAGATCTATATTTAAGTTTTAAAGCATGTTTACTTTCAAATTAGCTTTCCACAGAGATTTCTATAAATGCTTTTGTTATTAAACTCAAAAGGCAGCGATTAGGATGAAATAATTGTACATAAGTTCCTTTTAGTACTGACTGTGTTACAGATTTTAATTTATGGGAAATTTCAGATGTTTATTTAAATTTTCACCTTTAAGCAGTACTAATGAAATCTGAATTTAATTATTCAGATTTTACAAAACTTGATATATACCTTCTTATATGTAAACTTCCTTTTTCAAATACAAGTTAAAATACTTAATACTTCTTTTTATATGTGCTGCAAGTTTTTTTTTTTTTTTTTTTTTTTTTAATGCAGTGTAGAAGTGAATAACAACAAAGGGCAGTGTTTTCTTAGGAGTTACTTCCTAATGTTTTCTCTTTTTCTCCTCCCCAGAACCAAAATAAAACACCACAAAAGTAAAACACCAGCTACCTACCTTATAATAAAGAAAAGGTTAATTTTTTCCACATTAATTTTCTGTATTTTTTCCCTTTACTGTTGTAATTATTGATTGTTTTTAGGATATTTGCTTCCAAGAGAAATTTGTGACCAGTGGGCATACATTCCTGTTTACCCTAAAATTTTAATGAGGAAAGGGTAGAAAATTTGCAATAATACCAGTTACTTTTCTAGTGCAATTATATTAGAATGCATATGTTTTTAAAATGCCAGTATAACTAGATACTATATAATGTACAGTGTAAAGGAGAATATTGTGCTTTTAAAAATATATATCCTTTTTACTTTTATTTATCTACTAGTGAATCTAAAACTATTCATTGGACGTTTATGTAATAGATAGTGGCCAACTCATTGAAATTTTATTTATAAGAAGGTACTAGTAAAAGTAAGTTATTAACTTTCATGTACCTATAATCACCTAAATTGAAATTAAATTTTCATTGGCCAGCTACAATTTGTATTTCTAAACACCTTTTATCGTAGCTGTTAGGAAATGACCTTAAAATAATAAAATAGAATGATCTATATTTATCATTAGCATTATACAAATTTAAGTTGCTAATAGTGATTGGAAAGCACAGAACATTTGGATAAAAAGACATTTAGTGTGCTTTGAAATAAATTCAGATTTTAAATTTTTTTCCATTGGAATACTGCAAAATCCATGCTTTTTAAAACAATTTATGTACTTACATTTACTTGAAGAGAATATTGAAATTGTCTACTATTCTTGGACCATATTAATATTTTTCTTTGGTTACTTTGGAAAGAAAAAATCACACCTGGGAACTAATGAAACAGAAGGTGACCATTGTCAGCCAATTAGCTATACTATGGCTAGTTCATTCAGAAATTGTAAATATCTTATAAAATATCCTAAAATAATAGAATCAACTCTCCTCAAAAATAATAACATGTTTTTATGTTTTAATTATAATGTGTTAATATTTTAAAACTTAGAAGTGGCAGATGAAGGTATTTATTGGTGCTAATCAGAAGCATAGTAAATGTAATATAAGAAATATATTTATAAAAATTAGTATGTGTGTTAGGCAGTTGGGTTGGATTTTGTTGTGCAAGCTAACTGACCAAATTTGACGTTGTGGCAGAACTATTAAAAGGAAGTATTGTAGCTATTATGTAGGTAGATATCAGTTGAATACTTTATATTGTATATATTCCTTTCACAAAAAGACTTTGAGAAAACAGCAGAACCAAGTGAAGACCCTGTACAGAGCTTTATGGACATATTTCACATAGTAACAGTAGCTACACTGAAAGGTAATGAGAGAAGTCTATTTCCCATTCTAAGGAAATATATTTTTTATTTTCTTAGATTTATCATTTTTAGGGCATGTTCTCTTCCTTTCTTTCTCTTTACCCTCCTTGGTCCTGCTCCATCTGTACCCATTTCCTCTTAAGTTAGTGGACTACAAACTAATACACTAGATAAGCATATAATTATTTTGTTTGAGTGTCAGAAGTGCTACATATCAACATTTATATAAAAATATATATTAAAGTATATCTATATAGGCTTATGATGTAACTTACAGTATTCTCAAGTTAGCACATCTAACCCTACTGTGAGATTTGTAGTTGTTGTTAGACTACCTGATAGTAGCCAGTTGGCAGTTTCCTAGGGATTGTTTAAACTCTGGTGTTCTTTCTGCGCCCTCTTTTGGCTAATTGATGTAATTATACTGGCTCTAGAGGTTTACTCTCCCATAAGTAAATTCTGAACATGTCAGAGGTACACAATAAGAAGGCGTTCATGTACAAAAATATAAAGTTTTATGAAAATGAATGTGTCGCTGTTGACAATGTTATTTCTAGCTCAAAAGAATGTGATGATTACTTTGCTTCATTAAGTATATTCTTAGTATAATTTTTACTGTAAATCACAAATTTAGATCAGGACAAACTAAGCCATTTCATGTATTTTATTTTAAATTGTATTTTGGCAAATTAATTCTTGACACTTAGAAAAGCCGTTACCTTAAAAGTTATTAGATTATTATAAAACACAAATTTTTTATAGTTACAAAGGCATCTAAGTATCTAGAATGTCTTTGAATATCTAAAAATACATTTAGTTTTCTCATTCTCAAATTTTGGAATGATTTTTTTTTTTTTTTTAAACTGGCACTCTTGACTAAAAACAACTAAAAAGAGATTAGTAATTCTTCCTATATTTTTTTTCTTTTTCTTTTTTAACTTCTTTGGTCAGAATTAGACCTCTAGTTGTAGTAGGCAGTTTATTATGTGTTCAGGATAACCACAAAGATAACTAAAGATGTTGAGCATTAGAAAATAATTATGAGTAGTAAGATTACTAATGTAATCTACATGTTGGACTAAAGCTTTTCTTTATGAATTTTCCATTAAATTTTAGCCAAATATAAATTAAAGAATTTTTTACATTGGAAGAGTCATTAACTTGGCTTTTGGAGAGGAAAGGTTCTTCTAGGATATAGTTGTAACTCATGAACAATATATATTAAGTATATAAATATTAAGTTAGCCTATATGTCATTGTAATGAAAATATTATTTTACTTAAGTCATATTTTAAAAATTGTGATTAACATAAGAGACAGCTATTTAAAATTATAGTTAACATATTAACCTTTCTTTCAGAAGATAAATAGTTTCCTTTTGTAATAGTGAAGTAGAAGCTTGAAGGTGTAGTGTAGTGGTAGGACACATGCTAGGCCTGGGTCCAATCCCCAGCACCAAAAAATAAAAGAAAAATGAAGTAGATAATATCAGCATGCAAAAAATTCAGTATGACAACTTTATATAATTTCTGTCAGAATTAATATCAGTGCATTTTTACTAATGCATACAGGAATTTTCACTAAGTATGGTGCCTAATTCTAACTATTCTCAGATTTTCAAGTCACTTCCACACAAGTTAACTAGTTGGAGATATGTTTTGCTCAAAAGGGTTTTTAAATTCTGAATGCTAATTACAAAGACTTAAGTTAGGACAATACTTCCAAGTAGGAAGTGTGAACTAATTAGATTATGACCACACGATTTTCTATTGTTAAATCATGGGGCAGTTCTAGTATTCTCACAATATTACTATTAAATTATAATGTGTCTAGCTGTGGTTTAATATGGCATTAATATTTGTTAACATAGCTGCTAGTGTCTCTCTGGACTGTCTGAAGTATATGAGTACTTCTCCTGTGCTTCATGTATTAATAGATTACTTAGCTCAAGTTTACTAAACTGTAGTAACTTCTTTAAGCAAGTTTTTGATGTGATCTCTAGTATACATAGATATATCTAGAATTTATTTGAAGCTTATACTTAAAAACATTAAGTAATTTACATAGGTACAAGTATTAGATTTCATCCAAGCTCTACTATGCTTACTTTGAAAAATTATAAGTATTTAATAAGTCAAGTACATTTAGTCTGTACTACTTGCTAGTATTACTAACCATATAATTAACTAATGAATGTGTTATTTAATGCCCATATTTGTTGCTTTCTGTTTTAAGAATCAACATCTGAATTTGTCTGTAAATGAAAGATTTTAGTATACTCTATTTTTAGCCATTCTCAGTTGAATTCTAGAATCTTCTACAGTAGAGTATGAGAAAGTATTAGAACCTACTTGCTTGAAGTATTTTGAACCAATGTTATTGTCAATGAATATTTAGCATTTCTGCTATCTTTGGAATGGTGAAGGTTTATCTCTAAGATAGTGATTTTTCTCTGACTTCTTGCATTATCATTTTGCAATTTTTTAATAACAAAATTCACTGTGTTTTTATCTGTTTTTCAGAAGTTGCAAATACTGCCTTCTAGTGCTAATTTGAAACAGAAGTTACAATATTTAAGATTCTTAAATCACTGGTATTACTGATATTTTTCATTATCATAAGTTTTACTATTATTATGTCCTTTCCCCTTGATACTCTAGATGACAGGAATCAATGAGTAGTGAGTAGCCAAAAAATTGGAGAGAGAGTGGGGAACTTAATAAGATGGGGAGACAGAGCATGAGTAATCAGCATCTCAGCAACAGGGTTGACTGTGACAGTTTCTGTGACCTCATAGAATCTGTGACCTCATAGAATCTTGCTATAGTCATTTTATTTTAGCCTATCACTTGTTGATACAATTTTCTGTAAGAGTTGTTAATGCATTTAAGCTTTTAGTTCAAGTTATTTAAGGAGTTTATATTTCTCTTTCTTTTCAGCTGGTCAGACACCTTGGAGAAATTAACTTTAAGTAATTTGGTAGTGTATGCTAACATGCAGTATTAAAATAATGTGAAAATGCAGCTATTTAATGCAGAGAGGAAATGAATAGATTGCTCTGAGTGTGAAAAAATATTGGGACTATTTTGACATGTGTCTTGTGGCAAAGAAAGGACAGTATTCTAGAAAATTTTGTCACAGAGGAAAAAACCAACAATTTGAATGTAAACGGTGGATTTCACCTTAACATTTGGGATATTTTGGATTTCTTTCTTGATCCTAAAGGTCTCCATTTCTGTTGGTATTTTAAATTCCTTATACCATGTAATGTAGTGCTTAGCACAGTTGTTCAACACTCTGGGCTTTTTGGTATTGATAGCATTATATATATAAACAAAGATGTGGACAAAACAACAGCAACAAAAGATGTGGGTTTTTTTGTGGCTTTGCTTGCTTGCCTGTTTGACTTAAAACAGGGTTTGATTGTAACTGCTAATTAAAGGGAAAGCTTATCTGCATATTGCAAGCTCTGTCCTCTTGCCAGTATGCATGGGTGATACTTTAACCTACTGGTGCCTGAAGTTAGTGTTTTACAACTTCAACAACTAAAACATCCTGGTGCTATTCATTTTAGCATTGAGTGACATTTTTAATTCCTGTACCAAAGAGTTAATTTTCTTTTTGGTTGAGAGTTTTCTCGTGCATCTGTGTTTATAAAGTGGAAGTGAATAGTACTAAGAACATTTTTATTACTAGGTCTTACTTTTTGCAACTGCTGCCTTGATTTAATGATTTTAAATGTTCCTCGATGGATTTTTTTTTCTTCCAGTTAAGCAGGTTAAGTATGGATATTAATTTTGTATTTTAATATAGCTTGGCTACTTTAAAAGGTAGTTTAATAGGCTAAAGTTACAAAAGATAGTTTAAACACTTTCGCAAAATTATTTTTGCTTTTTTTCTGTAGCAGTTAATAAAAAATAGGAAGAACAACTATGCTTTTATTTCTGTAATGAGTTATATAGCATATAGTGATAACTGAAGCAAAGTGCTAAAATGAAGGATTAGTAGCAGGTCTTTTTTGATTACAAATTAAGAATTTAGCACCTCTGTGTCTATAATCTTTAGTGGCTTTAAAGAATACTATTGCTATTTGTCTGTTTTGTGAATAAAGATAAGTAAAATTAAAGAATACTTTTAATATACATATATATGAAGCGTGTGTGTGTGTGTATACACACATGTATACACATACTTTGCCAATAAGAAATGTAAATATACCTTGATTTAAGCAAAACTGCTAATAGAAAATTAAACTTTACCAAAAAAAGAAGAACAAGTCTGGATATTGTTACTCACTTTACATGAAATTTCAGAGTAAGGATATTTTTAAAACTAATTTTGCTTAGTGATTCATTTTACAAAATGGAAACAAACACTCTTTAAATGTACTTGTAATTGTCCAGTTGTAACACTGCTATGTATATACCGTTTTGGTTCTCTATTTCTTCCCCTTAAGCTCTAAAAACACTCATGTAGTATTTTTAAAACTAGCTGAAATGGTTAATCATTCTGGCAAGATGATGATAGAATATATGTGTTGAAAAGTAGACAATCACATTTGAAAATGTTTTGCTTTATTTTTGATCAGCTGAAATCAATCTTTCCTTGAATATATATTTTATGTGTGGGTTTGCAGTGAATTCTGAATGGAAAAAAAGAATCAAGTCTGAAACTTATATGAAACATGACTTCAGATCATTTGAATGATAGCCAGGAATCAAGATGAGCATATTCAAGGTGAAAGCAAAATTTGCTTAAAAGCAAAATGGGATGGAGTAACATTATGGATCTCGCTAGTCTGCCAAGAATTATTTCCTAGATTTGTTGTCACTGTATTAGTTCTGAGTAATTCAGCTTATTTATGCATGCTTTAAATTAATGTGTCTGATTACATTTGTTTTTCAAGTTATGGGTAGTGGAGAATTTGCCACCATTTTTCTCAGAGAGAATATTAAAAAGTAAATAAAACAGTACTCTACTTTAGCATAGGTAGAGAAAAAGAACTTAAAGATTATAATAGGAAGATTTCTACTACACTCAGAAACACTCAGAGAAAGGTGTGACATGGGGTGACAAGAATGGGCTCTTGGGAGGACTGAATGTGTGTCAATCGTGCTCTGTGAGCATGTTTTATGTCCCAGGAATTAGTCTTTTTTCTTTGTTTATTTAACCTGACTAGCAACTGTAATGAATAGACAAAATCTGTGTTATTTGGGGGCTTCTAAAATTTTATGTCAACTCCAAATCCTACCTGACATTGTATCCCTAAAATAAAAGACCTGTCTGATATTTTAATAATAGTATGTTCCAAGTACCATATGAAGATCCAGTTTTTAAATTTGTCAGGCATTTTTTTTTTGTTGTTCAGCCCATAATATGTGTAAATCTGAATGTTGTTTTCCTTTATTATCTACTATCTTGCCTTGTCTATTCCCCTGAGAAAATTTAAAGAAAATCCTCACTAACATTTCTAGTGTTGATGGTAATAAGGAAATAATAGAATTAAAAATATAGAGAGAAGAGGGAGAAAAATGGTTAAAAATAACAGGTGTGTGTGTCTGAGATATAATTGTATAATTGAAAGGTCTACACTGGTTCTTAAAATGAAAAACAAACCAGGTATCTACCTTAAGAACAATATTGTTGTCCTTAATTTATTTAAGTGATTTGGTTTTTTATTTTGCTGATTATTTTTAATTTAAATTGTGAAATTTTTACTTCTCTCAAAATGTGTTATGTACTGTATTTTTAGAAATATTATTTTTAAATAAATATTTTTTAAAAACATAGGACTGTCCTCTTATTTATTAAAATCAATTCAAATTCTAGATTTCAGCACTACCAATGTAATAATCCATGATTTTGTTTTGTTTTGTTTTATGCAATTTGGATAAGAATTCATAATGCAGCTATTGTAATGAGATGAGTGACATAGGATATTATAATCACAAAATTAATTAGATATTCAAGAATAACTAGGTATATATACATCAGGGTTGAAATTGATAAAAAAAACATCATATTCCTCATTAGGTATATTTATTTTAGAGATGACCCAGAAGGCTAGAGTCAGTCACCCAATTTATTTAATATCGTGTCAGATGCTATTTTATGGAGATATTTTTTATTTGAGAAATGATTTAAATACAATAAAATGTAAAATAAAACCTATATCTAGACAATGTTTTAGATTCAGGTGTATTGAATTATATAAAGACCATCAGTTCATTGTGAAACTGTTTAATAGCTTTATACACAGATTTCCTAAGCCATCAACTAACCACTTGTACATGCAAGAGCTCACAAAGAAGAAGTGTATATTTATGAGTACAAATTGGTTAAAAATATCATTAGTTCTAAATAGAAAATCAAGAGTCTTCCATAGAAGGAAGTAGAAACTGCTCTGAGATTGAAGACAAGGGCTTTAAAAATTTTCGCAAATTTTTATTAACAGAAAAATAATTTTGATAACATTCTGTATTAACACAAATGATTTTTAGATAAAATTACAAATTTTGCTGTTTGGTAAATCAAAGCAAATCATTGGCTTCTGACAAGATTTCAAGGGTCATGAAACTTCAACCTTGTCCCTTTTGCAATTTCCTGTTCTAATTCTGAGCATCATTTACAATAATTGTGTTTTCTTAGTAATGATAAATTACAATAGTTCTCAAACTTTTTTGTCGTAGGACTCCTTTATACTCAAAAATTATTGTAGACCTGAAAGTATTTTTAATGTTAGTTGTCTTTATCAATATTTACTATTTTAAAAAATTCAGATGCTTATTTATTAATTTACTTAAACATAAACTCATTACAAGTTAAATATGTATTTTTACATAAAGACCCATAATCTTATATTTCTACAAAGCTCGTTCATGTTCACCTTCATAGAAGAAAGTTGATTTTCATACTCCTACTTTTATTGTGGTGGTGTTTGGGTTGACATATCTTAAGGAATCTGGTCTCTAGAAGATACATTAGTTGGAAAAGGAAGGAGTGTTTTATTAATCTTTTCAAGTAACTGAATATTCTTCTTTTATACTACAAAAATCTTGACAAGTGATGGTTTCTTAAGCTTAGTTGCAACGTGGAATCAGAACATCAAAGGACTTTTCATTCTCATGTTAAGATCCATTGGTCACATCTTCACTTTAGAAAGTTCTCTTCCTCATATAAAATAAAATTTGCTGTCACTACTGATCCTGTTGCGAAAGTAAGTACAGTATTAGAAAGCTGTGAAGCTCATCATGACAGATAATATTTTTCAGAATTCTGATTTTCACTGTAAAATTTAAATGTTAGCCTTGGAAACAACATACTCCACTGGTTTTCCTTGAAGTTTTACCTTCATTCATTCTTGACTTGTGCTTGACAATACCCAAATCCAAAAAAAAAAAAAAAAACATTGTCATTCTTTCAAATATAAAATGGTGTTTCATGGAAAAAAAAAAAAAAAAGCTACTAGTTCAGCTTGCAACTCCAACAGCAATAGAAGTGCTTGTCTCAGGAATGAGCAATGATACTTCAGCATTCACCCCAAGCGCTTTATGTATATTTCCCATTTTGTCAAAATAATAAAAATGTGCTCAAGAGCAAGACTTAATACAATTAATAGTTTTCCTGCATCATTGAAGATTTAAATGGAACTGGCTTGTCATTCTCCTTTTTAAGCCAATGCCTGAATCCAGTTCATTTGACTGTTTTGGAAGGAAATCAGTGGTGGAAGGACAGAACAGTATGCATTTGAGACTCAATTTCATTTGCTCTGCATTAGACCTGGGAGAAGAAACATTGGAAGTTTAAAAAGAGAATTTATATCTGTATTTCAGCTTTTGAGCACTCAAGACAGCATCCTTACAGAAGCACATGATTTAGCCTTGTTACAGAGACCAAAACTAAAAATGCATGATAGTATTATAAGGCTGCAAAATCATTTGAGAAACTGCCAGACACTGTAGATGAACAAGTACATACAAATGCTGCTCCAGGCTGACCAATTACCCATATGAACAGCAATTATATTAGCGTGCAAGGGCAATTGGAGGGAAAATTGGACCCTGTGGACATCCAGCTGAGCAAACAGGACTGAGGAAGGATAGAGGATGTGTGTTAGTTTAGGAAAAAAGTCTAAGTTACTTAAGAAAATATTTGTATCAGTCACAGCACATTCTTTGTATGTCTTCTGAATGCCTAATATTTTTCAAATTAACTCTCTTCATCAAATGAAAAAGTGCCTCTGCTTAAAGATCAAACACCTGAATAGCAATGTGTTTTGCATGTAAAAAAGCCAGAATATTCAGGAAATTGGGAGGTTGAAGTACACAAATCCAAACATTCAGATGCTACTGTAGACATGCACATGATTGTATCTTTAGCAGTAGGTTTATTGGCAAAAACTGGTTGAAGATGATGTTCTAATATGATGTCAAGGATTTATAGTTCCACATTTAAACTATGGGTTGTAATCCTTGATGAATAAGTAATGGCCATCAAGTCAATGAAAATTATCCTATAAATTTATCCCATACATCTGTAGCTTTTGGTCAAATACCCTCATTCTGTTGTACAGATTTGTATTTTCATGCCATCTAGAAATAAGGTTTCTTGAGAGGCTCGCTTGATATCACTTGATTTCTGACTTAGATTTTGAATGTTTGAAAGCATTTCAAATATTCTTAGCTTGGAAAAGTATCCACAATATGGAAAATACCAATACATTTATACACAACTGTGAAATGCTCTAATTTTTGCTGTTTAGTTTTCAAATATAATACTTTGAGAGGGTCCCCCAGCAATCCCCATCTTCTGGATTTCAAACCAGTAGAATCTGCTTTTCTCTTCTCAGAGGCCAACACTTGTAAATTTGGAATGTATCATTTCTATGCATGTATTCACACATTGATATATGGAAACATGAAATGTTGTTTGATTAAGTTTTAAGGTTTACATAAACTTCCCACAGCAGTCACTGTCTGTCTTTCCTGCTTTTTCAAATTGTCCATAGTGCTTAGGTGGGACATCTCCACTCTTTTCTCCAAAGGCAGCTTCAGGCAATAGCGGGTGTTCATCACACCACTCTCCTCCCTCTCTCTCTCTCTCTCTCTCTCACACACACACACACACACACACACGCATGCACACATGTGGTTGCTTGGTTTACATAAGGGGACCCTACTGTTTTGACAATGTCAACATACAGTCATCTCCATTTTTTTCTTTCTATGGATTTTATCATGTCACTAATTAAAATTTATTTAATCATGCCACCATGATGGGAATCAAATGGATTTTTTTTCTTTTCTATTATTATCAATGCTACATTGAGCACTCTTATGCTGAAATCTTTGTGCCCATTTGCTAGTATTTGTATAGGTCAATTCCTAGAACTGAAATTGATATGTGAAAGAATGTACATATTTTTCCATCTCGATAGCAAATACCCAGCCATCTTCCAAAAGTATTTGTACACACTCTCACATGTTAGTATTAATCTTTAAAATTTTGCATCAACTTAATAATAAGTGGCTAAGGTTTAGTGGTTTGGTTTGGTTTCTACATATTTCTTGCTTATATTTTTTGGCCAAGTTGTTTACTTGTGAATGTTAGTGACTCTTGCTTATAGTTTTTGGCCAAGTTGTTTACTTGTGAATGTTAGTGACTCTTGCTTATAGTTTTTGGCCAAGTTGTTTACTTGTGAATGTTAGTGACTCTCTTGTGAATGTTAGTGACATGTTGCTTTATTCAACATGTTTCTAAATTTTAACTCCCAACCCCATGGTGATATTCCAGTTACTGTTGCTTTATAACAATGCCAACGACCAGTCATTTTTGTTTTAGATCATAATTTCAGAAATTGTGAAAGGGCACAGCAGCTTTTAGTATTCCATGGGTTCTAAGGCTTTAGCTAGAGAGATTGAGAAAACCATTGAGGATTGTAGGACTGGAAACTACTGAAGCCTTTTTCTTGACTGTCATGTCTGGTGGGCTGTCAGCTGTGACTTTAGTGGGTACTCGGTTGTGCAGAACATCTAAGGGAAACTTTCTATGTTATCTTTTTGGGCTTCCTTATAGCATGGTGGCTGGGTTCCAGAAACTAGTGTACCAAGAGCACCTGGAAGAAGCTATGTCATCTTTGTTTGTTTCGGTGCTGGGGATGGAACCCAGGACTTTGCACATGCTAGGAAAGTACTCTGCCACTGAGCTACATCCCCAGCTCACCATGTCACCTTTATGTCCTAGCTTCAGAAGTCACGAGCCTGCTATAATCACTGCCCAAAATTAGTGGGAGAACATAGAATCCATCTCGTGGAAACAGTGTCAAATCACATTTCACAAGAAAACATGGGATGGAGACTTTACTGAGAACATCTTCGGGAAATAAAAATTTCCACAATAACTTATGTTGTATAGAATTAAGTTGCCTTGAAATTTAAGTTTTCTATGAATACACCACAGTGAATCTCATCACAGTGTATATCCACAAGAATGGAGTCCTAATTAGAATAAGATATATTATATGCTTATATAATTATATCAAAATGGATTCTATTGTCATATATAACTAAAAAAACCAATAACAAAAAGAAATTTAAGTGTTCTTTGTGACTTCTGGGTTTAATTACCTTATTTTAAATAGCCTTCCTAAATCAACATAATGTGTTTTCCAAAAAACTTTGCTAGTTTTACTCTTTTACATTATTCACCTGAATCCATTTGGGATATCTTTCCTCCTTTTTTTTTTTGACTACATAATCTTTCTTTTTTATTTGTTTTTTTTTTAATTTTT